TCCGGTGGCCAGGGAGCAGCCGGGGATCGAACTGGTGCTGCAGAGGCTGCGGGCAGCTTCGCAACCCAGCGCTCAACCGCTGCGCCACCGGGGAGGCCCCCAAATCAGTTTTAAAAATTCATCTTCCCAATATCGGATTATGTCACTTATATGTGAAATATAGAGAAATCAAACAAGAAATCAGATAAAGCCAAACTAAGAACTAACTCTTGAAAGCTGATTACAAAACTGAGGTTACCAGAGAGGGAGGGATGAAAATAAAGTGGAAAGGGAGCACCATACACTGTGGTGATGGACCATGGGTGTTTTGATGGTGGGTGTGATGTGGTAACAACACCTGAAGGGAGAGATCTTATATTTCTAAAACACAGACATGGTGTAACCTAATGATACCTCAATAAAAAAAAAATTTTGGTCTTTCCTTTGCATAGCCATATTCTACCTTCATTTCCTTCCATTGAAGCTTAACAAATGGAACTGAGTAGGAGTCTTACCAATACTTACCCATTCACCCAGTCATCAGTCATTGAGTCAGTATGTTATCAAGTTTCATCCTTCCTATAAGGCCCAACAAGATGAATCTATTCTCTTCATACCTGACCCTTGGACTCCAAAGGATTTCTCCTACCTCAAAATTTTTATAGCATTCTTCTGTAGTAATTTCCCAACTTGGGCAGCATTAATATTTGAGGCTGGATAATTTTTTTGTAGGGGGTCATCCTGTATATTGTAGAATGGAATGTTTAAGAATTTGCTCCTCTGTTCATTCCATGAATGAATATTCCTCCTCCCACAGCTGTTCCCCCAGCAAATTGTAACAATATCTCCTATCCCCCACACACTTCTAAATGTTGGAGGGAAGGGAGAGGAACAAAAGCAACCCTGATTGAGAATTACTATTCTATAGCAACTCATTGTAAAAGTAAGTTCATGTGGAATTATGTCTTCTGATATTACGTGTGCTTTCTAATTGAATTATTGTTGATTTATTGTATTCTTCATTAATTATTTTCATGTAGCTCTCTTCTTTAAATAAATTATCTGATTAATTTCCCTATAGGAGATGTACTGTTATATTTCTTTGTATCTGCCAATGACTAATTGGTTCAGGTCATCTTCCACTGGATGACTTTGACATCGTGTAGAAGAGCAAGGGCTCTGGAGTCAGATGCCTGCACCTAAATTTTGGTTCTACCACCTACAGACTGTCGCATCAGACAATTTACTTTACCTTTTTATAATTTGGTTTTATATTGTATAAAAGGGGAGAATAATGTCTTCATAAAATTGTCAGGATTAAAAGCATTAATGCAAACAAAATAATGCCTCCCCACACTAAATACTATGCAAAAATGATTTACCATAATCTGCATAGAAACCACAGCTTGCAGTTTAACATAATGGGTGATTCCTGTTCCACAGGAATGTTTTATATGGCTGAAAAGACATGAAAACTATATCTAAAAAACTAGAAGACTACATGCACTGTAAAATGTTAAATATCTATAGGCAACAAGCTGGCATAATATAGTGTATGAATGATTACCAAATATTTGGAATTCAGAGAAGGAAAAATTACAGAAGAATAGAATATTGGAGGAAGGAATGACAGAAAGGTTAAATTTGAGTAGTGGATGATTTCATTTATATGTGAAACATAAAGAAACAAAACAAAGGGGAAGACAAAACCCAACCAAACAAATCCTAGAAATCTGACTGTAGAATTGAGGTCACCAGAGAGTGAGGGGGAAGGGAAAGCGAAGGGGAGAGGGCCCAATGGGCTATGGTGGAGAACATGGATACTTTGGTGATGGGTGGGGTGTGGTGAGATAACATACATCTGAACAGGGTGAACTATACCCCTAAATCATACCAATGTGTGAACTAATGTTACCTTAATTTAAAAAAAAACACAATTATGAAAATATGAAAAAAAAAATTTGAATAACCTTTGAAAAACAAGTTGTGAAGACATGAGGAAAAGTCTAGGCAGAGAGACAAGCCTAACTAAAACCTCAGGAAGAGAAAAATTATGGCCTATTCTGGGGAGAGTGAGTAAACATGTCTAGCTGGAGTAGATATTTGAAAAGAACAGTGTGTCAAAACAAAGCCAAAATCAAAGTCTGTGTTTTGTCACAGGAACTCCATAAACCATTCTTATACATTGTAACTAGTTGTAATAGTAGCCCTTGACAACTAGAAAGCCCCACCATTCAATATGAACAATTTTTAGCATGTCTCTCTATTTCAACAAAAATTATAATAACTTGTGGTAATTGAATATTTTTTACATACCAGATAACAAGCTGAACACTTTATATTCATTATTATATTTTATTAAATTAAACTTATGCTGTGGTGTGGTGGACCATATTTCACAGATGAAAGTACCACACATGTGCAAGTTGAGTAACTCCACCTGTGCTGCAGAATCGAGGTCACAGGAGGGATTTGAGCTGCTGTGCTATCAGTCACTGTACTAACAGCTTCCATAGGATCTTCTTTCTCTCGAATTTTCTTTATAATGTTTTCTGTTTCCTCCTGCATCTCAAATCTTCTGTCATTCTGAGATTATTATTTTTTTTTTTTTTTGCTGTACTATGAACACAGCTTTACTTTTTCCGATGGTGTGCTGGTTGTTCTTTATAGAGGGATAGTCTACATCAATGACCTAGCTTGCAGTAGTTGCAGTAACTTAACACCTATCAGAAACTTTCCTAACACTATCAGAAACTCATTCATACACTCATACTAATTTCCAGGTTTTTTTAATTGAAACATTTTTTCAATAGGTTGTATTAGGATTATTCCTGCTAATTTTCTTAATATCATAAGCCAAGAATAAAGAACTATTTACTCTATTCGAAATGAGACCAACTTAAATGATTACAACAACCATCATTATTACTATATTAATGCACATAGTAACACACAAAGTGGGAAATAAGATTGGAAAGGTGAGTTGAAATGTTAATTTGACTTTCTAGTTACAGAGGGTGAACTTTTTACATTATAACCTTAGGAGTCCTTAAAAAAAACTTTGAGCAGGGTTGTAACATGTTGAAACCAACATTTTAGGAAGATATGTTTGGTATCGGTATGTATGTAAGAAATTAAAGGGGAAATAATCTGGAAGATGACAATCCAGGGTAATTGTAAAGGATTTTAAAAAAAGTAAAAGCAGCAGAACTTAGGATATATTGGACCTGGTTTATGAGCAAAGCATAACATATGAATTCTACCAAAATATCATTACTAGTATGTTAAAATCATTCTCATAAACCATAAAAGACATAATATATACATCCCATTGTCCAGTTTGGCAGTCAGCTAAGAAGTTTAGTTAAGTCCATGGACTCAGCATTAACTTCCATGCAGAAGAAATGCCTCCACCAGCTCCCTCTTCTACCTTCCTATGGTGCTTAGTTACCTAAATTCCTGTTCTCTTCCTCTTCTCTCTCTCTCTCTCCTTCTCTCTCTCTCTCTGTCTCTCTCTGTCTCTCTTCTCTCTCTCTCTCTCACACACACACACACATCTTTGTGGTCCCATGTGTCACATAGTTTCTCCCACAAAAAGAACAAATCAGTTGACACACTGAGCACACACTATGTGCTATGCTGCAACTTTATCATCTCAGCAAATTGAAAAACCTAACACCTGTGGTAGCAAGTGATTACCCTTTTGTTACATAAGAACAAGCTGGGACTCAAAGAGATGTTGGAGCTGTTTAAGCACCAGAACAGTAATAAAGAGAAAACAGATACGGGGAGGGAGGGTGGCCAAAGTAATAATTGCCATTTCAACATCAGCTTGGTACAGGATTTCAACATCAGCTTGGTACAAAATATTTACAATCCTTATTTCTTTGCCTCTTAAAAATAATTCTGAGACTTTTCTGGAAACATAGCTTTTCAAGGAAAGTTTCTGGAATAATATTATTTTAAGGGTTAGGCCTACACTTAGGTAAGGAGACATCCTTCTCCCAAAATACCAGCTTCCTTAAAGTTCCCTGTAATTGACAAGATCCCTACTTTCCTAAAGTGTGGACTGACTCATCGCTTCTTAAAAAATGAATCTTAATTGCTTATCCCTACCTCCTCTGAAATCACACCTTTGGAAAGATCAAGAGGGGCAGAGAAATAACAAAAGCAGCAGTTCAATAGACATCCAAAACATTCTTATCTGTCCTTGAATAAAATCCATCCATGTTGATGTTAGTCTTTTAAGCAACACAGAAAAAGGTGACTTTATAACCTAGCTAGATTCTAAACTTTTGAAAATAGTTCTATTTAAAGGGTGAACTGAGAGTTGTACCCATCAATTTGATTGGTAGAGAATGTTCTGATTTATTCTTCAAGGAATTGGAACCAAAGTTCTTCCTGAAGTGATTATTTCAGAGGACCGCACTGAAATTTCTTACAAAATTGTGGCTTTAGGTATATTATCTTCAGTACGAAAATATCTATGCAAATTCAAAGAAAAAAATACAGCATATTCATTATCCATCTAATAATTTCATTGTCTCTTTCAAGTCCAGAAATTTCTTTTAGTGTTTCTTTCTAGATTGTATGTATGTTGGGAGAAGGGAGGGAGTTACTTTTACCACAACAAACATGGGTGAAAATCTTGGGAATACTGGCATGCAGTCACAAGTTTTATATGCAGATAAAAGCCTGTAGAAAACAGATAATGGCTTATTTTGCACCTATTTTACATATATTTCCCCCAGCTCACCAAAATGATCGTCTTCAGAATTTTTGTTCATTATTCCTTCAATGCCTTCCCCATAATTGAAACCTCTGAATAAATACAGGGACTGAGTTACAATTTAAAATAATGAGAATCCACCAGGTCAATGTCCTTGCGTGCAATAAAAGGGTGTGGGTAATTGCAGGAGCAGATTTTTTTTCCTCCTAGTTTTGCCTTACTTTGATTGGTGGACTGGCACTTTAAATAAGGGTTTCAGTTCTTCCCTGAAATGAGAGGTACAGAGGGAATCCCAGGCACAGTCCAGAAAAAAATTTAATCTTCTTTTCTTAGAACTATCTTGGTTGGTTGGCATCTCCAGGCCCTGAGAGCACAGTACATGCCAGCATTGAAGGCATTGAAGGTAAAATGTGATTTTATAATTTCCATATGATTCCTCTAAGTTCTTTTTCCTATCTCCAGGCAACTTTTATAGAGGATTTGTCTTTATTTGTCACCAGAAATTAAATAACTTGTTATAAATCATTAGCATGTACCAGAGAAGACGTGGCTAATACCTGCCAGCTAAAGGGGGGTGGAGGGAGCAGGAAAGTTGCTGTATAGACCCTTTTTTTTTTTAACTATTTGTGATTATTAGTAACAGTGCCTAATGTAGGAAAGTATTAAAAGACAAACAAATCTCTAGACTAATCAGATTTCTGTGCAGAGATCACTACAGAATCTTTTGGACTTTTAGAATAAACTTAAAGAGAGAATTCACATTTGAAAGAGAAAAACTCAATTTTGGAACATTTTCCACTAACATCAAATGAAATTAAATATTCATTTCATTCTTATTAGAAAAAAATGAGTTTTGACTTGGTTATCTGGAGAATCTAGGCATAGAATGATATACCTTACACATCTGCAAATAAAAGTTTGTTATGAAGTGATTTTGGTTGATTACATTTCCAGTGCATTTTAAAATTTTCACTGGAGGCAAGCGAAGTATACTCCCATGAATATTGCTTAAAGACCAAATTTTCATGTAATGGAAGGGATTTTTTTAATCATTTTGTGAACTAAACACAACATTTAAAGACTACCAAGTTCATAATGTAGTGTAAAGACATCAAGTAATTCCTATATATTTGTTCAGGTTGTCGGTAGGTTTTTTTAATGGAAAAAAAAAAAAAACTTAGGTATTGTTTTAATTTCTTTTCAATTCATTCCAAAAACTAGTAAATGTAAATTAGTTATTTGGCAACATTTAGTTGTTTTTGTTGTGTTTTGAATCTGTTTGGAAGTGCAGTATTTCATTTGAAATAGTCTTTCAACCATCAAAATAAAAATTCATCTTCTTTAAATCTCCAACTCCACTCTGTTTCAGATTTTACTTTTCAAAATGAAGGACCTGATGCTGATCCTGTGCCTCCTAGAATTGAGTTCTGCAGTGCCGGTAAGTCAGTCTTTTAGAATGTTCCTAAAAGCTCTGCCAGACACAACACTGAAGGACATTAGCTTAGTGACCCTACAGGGACTCATTTGAATTAACCCACTGATATGTTTCCTAATATGAGTTGAAAGTTATAGTTGACCAGACCTCATCCTACTATCAAAACAAATAAGTCAAACAATTTTTCTGTTCAAAAATATATTTAAAATATTGTTCAAACAATGTCCAAGTCTTACTCCATTCATTTAAAATTAAATGATTTATGTGTTCTCCATAAGCGTATTGCACATTGTTTTATCAACTACTTGCTATCACTATGAAATTGAAGTGGAAAGTGGGAAATTCTCCAAAAAGTAAAGTACATTTTCTTCATCATTTTTGCAAGAACAGTATTAGCCGAATTGCTATGGTTACAAAACTGAAATAACTAATTCAATTTGTAGCTAGTAATTAAACAGTGAATTTACCACATGTATATAGTTTGCTCTTTTGCACTGAGGTGGCTTTTTATTTTCAGTTTGCAAGAAAGTGTATCTACCAAAGAGAACTCAAAATTATTTTTGTTTCCATTTAGATGTTTCCTCAACAACCTGGGACTCCAGGCATGGCTAGTTTGAGTCTTGAGGTATGTATTATTAGAATATTTACGTACAATCTTTACAATGGTGTGTTTCTGGAATAAGAAAAATATGAGGAACTCTTCTGTTTTTGTCATCAAAAGTTAGAGATTCTTATACTTACCTGGCAGGGGAGATACCATGATGATGAAGGTGGTTTTCCCAGAGCAAGGCTTATCCATTGCACTCCAGATGTGCTGACCCCTGCAATTTCCCCAATTGTGGGACACTCGACTGCATAATTTGTGGTAGTGCGGGACTGCATTCGCTCTCTCCCCTAAAAAAAAAAAAAAAAAAAGGCAGATACTCTAACTCTGCAGTCCTAGAGAATCTTATATTTATTGTAGATTTATCTTAAAATTTTACTGTAATTTCACACTCTCAGGTGTTTATTAATTTGAGGGCATTTTTGTTTGGGAAGAAGGTGGGAAAGGTTTAGGAAGAAAGGAAGTCTTGTTTTGATTTGTTTGTCTGTTTTTTTCAAATTGCTCTTCAGCCTGAATTTGTAAGAAGCAAAGTAGGTAAATGGGGGATGAAAAGAATCAGTGAAGCAATGTCCACAAAATTACATGTGTATTTCAGTTGAATCACCTACTCTACCATGTTTCTATGTGGTCTTAATTAAACACTTTTTCTCTCTTTTCATTAATGATAAAATGCAAGCTCACTATTTTAATAGAAATAACAATAATAGCAGGAACCACATGTATTATTTACCACTTTTCAGTGGTAATTTATATCTATGTTTATTTTATTCAGATTGACCCACCCCTAAGCTTTGTGCAAATAATACTATATGTTAAGAAATCAGCTGTGTTACACAGAAAACAAATACATGTGGTCAACACTAACTCACATTTTTTTCTTGACAGACAATGAGACAGTTGGGAAGCTTGCAGGGATTAAACATGCTTTCTCAGGTAAATTTATTTACAATTGTTTCTTATTGTAGGTAGGAATGATAGTGGTGGTAATAACAGCAGGAACATCGCCATTCATAAGATTTGTTTGAACAAACTATCTTAAAAACTGAAAGAACAAATAAGTAATTGAGAAAACCTAAAACAAAATAAGATTCTGGGGTGGAATACAAGGGTCAACAAAAGCAATATTGAAATTTATTTACTTAAAAAAATCCTTTTTGCTATTAACTTTACTATATATACAGCCTAAAATAGTCATTAATAGCTAAATCTCAAAGAAGTTTATGAGAATACTGAATCAAATTCAGATGAAATATAAGTCTGTTAAAAGAGTGTTTACCATCCATAATAATTTAACCAGTATCACTGTTACTTTTGTTATTTCTTATTTTCTATGGACCTTTTATAATTGAAAACTACATTTAAGCTAATATTGATATATAGCATGCTTTGTTGGGATTTTTTTTTTCCTCCATATATACAGTATTCACGATTTGGTATTGGGAAGTCATTTAATTCCTTGTGGATGCAAGGCCTCCTCCCACCGCATTCTTCTTTCCCGTGGATGAGACCAAGGGAACATGAAACTCAACAGGTAAGTTAATTACATCGATGTGTTTTAAATGTCATACTTGGGGCCTCCCTGGTGGCATAGAAGTTAAGTGTCAGCGCTATCAATCTGTCACCATGTGGCCTGGATTCAATCCCCAACCAGGGAGCTAACCCATATATGGTAAAGCAGACCTCTCCTGTCTCCCTTCTGCTCCCCTTAGCAGTGTATTTCAGTACATCTGCCTCTTCTGTGCCCCACTCTGTCTTTGGTGAATAGTCTCACACCCCGCACCTCTGGACTACACCCCAGTTCTGCTATGCATAAATAAATAAATAAATATTCACCCAAAAAATAAACAAATTCAAACTTTAAGTCTTTCCTACTTGCCTTCTCTATATTGTCATAGACTAGCCATAGGTAGCTGATAGTAATGAACAAAAAATTATCCAATAAAACAAAAATCTCTATTTTTAGGACTTAAAAAAGATAAAATAGCCTCAATTTTCAGCTGATTGTATATTTCAGATAGGAAGACGTGGCCTCTAAAAGATATGAGACCTGTGTTAATGATATTAATAATAACAATCCACAAACTATCCTATAGTAGGCTATATCCTGGGCAATTCTCATCTTTATCAAAATTGCCTAAGTAGTTTTTCAAAACCACATTTAAAATAATGCCAAATACCCTGGTTAAAATATCACAAATTCGATAGAAGTCAATGTCTGTATCAGTCAGTTAGCCATTATGTGTTTAGAGCCTAATAAACCAAATTGTAGGTTGGGAGTGAAAATTAAAACATTTAAGAATGGCTCCTAGGCTCATGAAATGGCTCCAAGGCTCACTTCTGACTGGGAGATAAGACGACACAGCACAGTAGCAGGGGCCACATTGTGAGGGGCACATAGTGAACATCGGGAGAGTTAGAGGTATGAAGGACTGAAGAGCTGAAGCAGAGCCAGGTTATTGGAGGAGTCTGCCACCAATTTAAATAATGGGGAGCCATTCTTCATAGAATGATTGTTTTAACTGGAATTTTAATTCCATATGGCCTTCCAAAAACATGTAGTATTGCCCACCAAGTCACATTTAGTGGAACAGTAAATTTTGTTAATTATGATTATTTTTCCACCTGAGTGTTTCCAAAAAGGACTCCATGATGCAGGAATTTGATTGATTTCTTTTCCACTTTCCTTTCTCCTTTCATTAATTGAAAAAAAATTTTAAGTCGCTTTCATGTGTCACGCACCTATTCAGAGCTATATTAAGTCCTGGGGTTATAAAGATAAATAAGACATTTTACTTTATCTCAGTTGACTGGGGGATAAATACAACAAAAACTTATAATCCAGTGAGAAAGTGGTAAAATAAAGATATATCGAGGCAGCTATGGGAACCCAGAAGACACTAGTCATTCTACAGGAAGGTCCATGGAGCGTTCCATCTTCATGAGCAGTGGTAGTCCCGGAGGAAGTGGGGAAGTCAGACATACACAAAACCTCTTTAAGTAACATTGACTCTATGTAATCCGTGCTTTCTTTATAAGCACAGCTTCCAGACATGTCCCCTAGACTCCCTTCTAAGTAGAAAGTTCCCCAAGTTCTTTTGCTTTAGAAATTCTAGACACCACAGTTCAGTGAGTCATCCCTTCCTGACACTCGTTTCAAATTTCTCTGCAGTATGAATATTCTTTGCCTGTGCATCCCCCACCTCTCCCATCGCAGACATCCCTGCAGCCTCAACAGCCAGGCCAGAAGCCTTTCCTCCTGCCCACCGTTGCAACTGCCATCCAGAACACTGCGCAGAAGGGAGGACCTCAGCCTCCAGTGTACCAAGGACATCCGCCCTTGCAGCAAGCAGAGGAACCAATGATTCAACAGCAGGTGGCACCATCAGATACGCCACCAAAGGCCAAGGTAATTCCCCTCTCTGAAATCAGACCAGGATATAACTTGCAGAGAGAAAACTGATTTGCATAGTACAGTTAAGTAATTAGAGCCTTTAGGCATAATGCATGAAGATACCAATGTGTTTTTAAGCAGTGGACACATCTAGGGATAGAACATAAACGTCTATTCCTGTCTTTTGCCATTAGAGACAGTTCGTGAATTCTAAAAGATCCTGTGCCTGTAAATCTGATTTCTTACTTGCAAAAGTTGAAAGCTTCCAGAGGAAATAGGACAGTCAGAAAAATCTAGGCTTCCTATCATCAGGGTTTCTTTCAGTTTTATAAGGACTGATAGGGATGATTGATTCCTCGACTTTGCAAAAAGTATTTTGCATTATTATTTCTCTCATAGTAGAGAAGACAGTCATACAAAAATACAAAGGACAAGTACAATCAACAAAAAAAAAAGAAGGTACCACATAGCAGGTATATTGTAGGCATTTAACATTTCCCCACAATGTCCTGACTACAGTCCTAGAAGGATAGGCTCCCTATCCTTATTACCCTTTTTAGAAGGGTTTAAATACCGATTTTGAGATTATGAATTTTCCCATTATTGCACAAAAATTCAATAGCAGATCCAGGCCTCAAATTAACCTGGCATTCTCTAACCCCAAAATTCTTTACTTTCTACTCTGTAAAACATAGTGAATCCACAATAAACAGACTTCATCTCCCTGCCTATTATTTCAGTTATACCAGCAAAACACTACTATAATCTCTTGCGATATAACCCCAGAAGACTGAATGAAAGTGAAATAGAGAAACTCATCTCAGATTGTTTTATCATAATCATAAATAAGAACATGTTCAGTTCACTTTGTCTGTTTTGACTGTTTGATAATTTTAATATTTATCTGTGATGCAGCTTCCAGAAGTGGACTTTCCTGAATTACAAGGTCCATCTGTAAGTAGGGATCTCAATGAACCCTTTTCTTGGGGAAAATATCTATACTGCCAGAAAAAAAGAGTGACCATTGTAAATTGTCCCACTTACTTATGAAGCATAATGGGTTCCTTTCAAAAAAGAGTATTTTATATTTCATACTAATCCATCTTAAAATGTGTTTCATATAACTCTTAGTAATGACTGTAAGGGATGTATGTGTGTGTTCTAGCAGATATGAATTACTTACTCTGTTTTCTACCACTTAAAGTTATTCCCAATAGCCCGTTTGATAGCTCGGGGACCAGTGCCACAAAATAAACCATCTTCGGTAAGTTTTTTAATGCCACTTCTCTGTCATTTACTTAAGAGTTTTTCCCTTGGAAATGCATTTTGTGATCATTATTGTATTATATTTATATTTAGCTTTATCCAGGAATGTTTTTCATGTCTTACGGAGCAAATCAATTGGTAAGTCTATATCCTATGGAAAGTATGATTTTTATTGTGTCTTATAGTAAAAGTCAAAATTATAAACTCCAGGTCTCACAGAATAGATTCCATAGTATTTGAATGCCCAAGTTAACAACTGAAATGATAAGGCACTTCCTATTTGGATAATACAGGACAGAAAAACAGACATACACTCAAAGGTATTAAAGAAAAAATAAAGTTTCTATCTGAATTACCCAAGATGGCCACATTTATTTATTAACAACTCACCTTTCCATTTTACTCTGTCTCTGGACACAGCATTAATATTAAGCCTTCAGGAAAAACTCGATGACTTTTTACTTTGTCCTGAGTAGCTGATGGTTCATAATATGATGCAGTGTTTGTTTTTGAACAGAATGCTCCTGCCAGACTTGGCATCATGAGCTCAGAAGAAATGGCGGTAAGTAATGTCTTCAAACTCCTATTAAAATAGTGGCTAAGAGGACAGTCAGAGGCATTGGTCATAAAAGTAGCTGAATATAGAGGATGAGACTCAGATTGATCCACTCCAAAACCAAAAGTTTGATTATGAAGTAATCAAACAGCATGTGGAGATTTCAACACATTCCTTACATAGTCATTTTTGAGTGAGGGCAATTCTTGAACAGAGGGGTTTGCCCCATTTCTTAAATATAAGCAGAGGAGAAACCCCTCTTGAAAAGTCATCAACCATTCAACATCAAATCATTTATAACTCAAAACTGGGAAATAAAAAAAAAAAAACAAGTTTAAAATGTGATTAATAATTTTAGACTACCAAAGTACAGTTAGTACAAGCATCTCAAAGATACATCTTTCTGATACACTGTGATTAAAAGTAGACTGCCTAGTTTTTTCTTTTTTTCTTCAAATAATCTTTTTATTACTATATTACTTTTGTTGCAACATCATAATTCCAGAGGCTGATATGTCCACAACTTTTAGGTTAGAGAATTTAAAAAAAATTATAATTTATTTTCTCCTTTTTCAGCTTTCACAAATTATCTTTGTGTTTTAAAGCATGTTTGTTATGACCCTGATCTTTCACCTGTGTCTTGAATAAGTGGTGTTTAAGTAGCAATAAATTAATTAATCTTAAGATGTGATTATTATAAAATATCAGGTATAATAATAAGTTAGTTTGAGTAGATTCTTACTCTGTTAGCTTTGTCCATGTGTATTACAAGTCTAAAATTTGAGATCAGTCGACTCACAATTTGACTTTTTTCCTCAGAAATTTCTATTACATGTGTTAGAGCATAACACAAACCCGCCCCCATCTTAGCAAATCATTATCAACTAGAAATCTTATCAAATTAATAACACACCGGTTCTCTCACTGGAAGAAAACGTGTCTCCCCACATTGTTGAATGCCCATGTGCGTTAGACGTATATAAAGGTGTTATGGAGGTAAAATGACTCAGACAATGTTGCTGTTATCAGGATTTTACAGTCTAATCGTTAGAAAAAATAGGTGCAAAAGCAAAGAGTGTCAAATCATGTTGTGTAAGAGAATTAAGAGAGGGGAAGGGAGTATCAGTTAACTTAGCCCAGGGGCTCAGAGTGCCTTCCCTGGAGGAGATGAGCTAAAATAGGACTTAGAGAGTGGAGACCAGAAGAAGGTTAAGAGGAAAGTATATCTATATGGTATCCATCCTAATGGCTGAAATTCAAAGGCTAATGATCATCTTACAGCTCTACTTAATTTATGTATATTCTGCTTCACCCTCAAAATATTTTGCAGTGGCTTATGAAGAGCACAACAAATATAACAAAAAAAGATCAAAGACAGAGTTTGAAATGAGTCAAAATTTTGAGGAAATGAGAACACAGATATTAAGTCACAAAGCCCTGCATAATTGCTGTTAACAGCCCATGGTTTGGACCCAAAGTTTTTGTTAGCAAAAGTAAAAAAGGAAACATGGTCCATTCTAGAGTTCCAAATGTCTACAGAAAATAGTTTACAGACTACTTCAGTTCCTCCAGACAAATCAAGATTTTATTTCTTACATGTATTCTAGGAGAGAAGGAAGGGAGGGAGGGAGGAAAAGAGGGCAGGGAAACATCCTCCAAAATATCCCTCAACAAACTCAGATATGGATCAGTTTCTGTTTTATAAAGGTGGTGCCATTTCCGCTGCTTATTGTTTTCTTGAAATTAAATTCAAAATTATCTTATTGTCTGTATCCTTGGTTCTGCCCTACTGCCACGCTTCTCCCCTTCCTACCTTTCAGCCAGAGGTAGCAGAGGGTCTCCAGCTACCCTTTCACAAAAGTAGGCATCCCCCACTCAAGAAAGTGCAGAATCTTCCCCCTTATGTTTCAAAGCCACAAAATGTGCTTACAAAAAGCTATCAGTCTGTGTTCCCTATCAGTTTTTTATGGTGTCTAGGTGAATCTGACCAGGTATAATTACATGACATAGTTGATAATCTGTGATAACGGTGCCTTTGGTAAATGTTTTTTTCAAAGGGAGGAAGAGGAGGCCCCATGGCTTATGAAGCCATGTTCCCAGGATTTGGAGGCATGAGACCCAGCCTCAGGGGGATGCCCCACAACCCAGCCATGGGTGGAGACTTTACTCTGGAATTTGACACCCCAGTTGCTGCAACCAAAGGCCCTGAGAAGGGAGAAGGTGGTACACAAGGCTCTCCCATGCCCGAGGCCAACCTTGTTAATCCCGAAAACCCACCTCTCCTTTCAGAGGTAGCACTTGGTGCCCTAGGGGGGCTTCTTGCTCCCCCTAAAGGCAGTGTTCCCAGCCTGGTAAAAGGCCCTGCAGGGCAGAGTTGGGGAACACCCAAGGTCACCCCAGCAGCAGCTGACCCATTGATGACTCCTGGATTAGCTGAAGTTTATGAGACCTACGGTGCTGACATGACCACACCACTGGGTCTCCAGGAAGAATCAACCACAGATGCCACTGTGTCCCCAGACACTCAGCAAACATCGCTGCCAGCAAACAAGGCCCAGGAGCCCCAGGTTATGCATGATGCCTGGCATTTCCAGGAGCCCTGAGAGCTCTGAAATGTCAGCTACTTTCTGTATGCACAGGCGCCCCTGCTTTGTCCCCATAGGATATCTTTTTGCTAAAATACTTTTTATGCTTCTGCAGCAACGGCAGTAAAAGCACTAATCATATATTAATAAATACAAGTGGTTAGAAATAGTCTAGGTACCCTTCTTGCTTTCCTTCTCTTATTGAAATAAAATGTGTTACCTGTCTCTGTGATTTAGAAATACTATTACTATCATCAGACAGAGTCTAAGTGTCTCTGCATTTGAAAATCACTGTTTCTTAGCTCTCTTAAGCATTATAGAATTTCTCTTACTGACATGACACTGTTATATGCAGGAACTGTGATGCTGCTTTGGAAATTTTTCTCTAAGCAAGGCACATATTCTCAGAAATATAAGCTATTTCATTGAAACATTATTAACAGGAATTGGTGGACAATCCCTGACTGGTACTTTGGATTTAAAATTCTCATTTGTAGAGCATTTTATTTAATCAAGTTAAAAAAAAAAACATTTAGCCTATTTTAAATAAAGAATGTTTCTCACTGAAAATATCAGGAATTATATGCTTATTATTTATGTATATTTAAATGGTTAAGAAAGGTATACCCATCCCCACCAATTCTGCTCTTTAACCCATTTCATTCAATCCATTCATTCTTTCATGAAAAATGTGTTGGGTATCGGGCCTCCCCGGTGGTGCAGCGGTTGAGCGCTGGGTTGCGAAGCTGCCCGCAGCTTCTGCAGCGCTGGTTTGATCCCCGGCTGCTCCCCAGCCACTGGAGGAGGGTCCCACATGGCGCGCAGACCTCTCCTGCCACCCGCTGCTCCCCTCAGCAGTGTACTTCGGTCCTTCTGCCTGCTCTGCTGCCCGCTCTGGCTCTGGTGAATTCTCTCACCCTCCCGCGCTTTTGACTGTACCCAGTGCTTATATAAATAAATAAATAAATCTTTAAAAAAAATGTATTGAGTATCTACAGATGATCTAGACACAATGCTAGGCACTATGGGACAGAAAACCACAATAATAACTTAAATGACCACTCTAAGCCAAGCCCAAGTACTTTAGAAGTATTATCCAATATTACTTCACATTGCAAAATAGAGACTCCCAAGCCCACAACACACCTAAAATGTGCTATGAACACGCCAAGCACAGGATGCTTCCAGAGTCCCAGAAAAGAGGCGCCTAATGGCCCCTAAGGGACATTGGAAAGACTGGGGGCAGAGAAATCAGACATGTTTTCTGAAAACAGTATGGAAAACATCTGCAGAATCAGGACGCCAAGAAAAAGAAACCCATGAGTCCTGCGGGAGTCATGTGAGAATTAGCTCATTCTTGTGAAATGTTAACAGTAAAAGAGGACCCAGAAAATGATCATTACTTGTCACCAAAGCTAAATACATTATCAGGCAGGGCTAGTATCCTAAATTAAGAAGTTCCAAGGTCACATCTGGTTACCCTCTAAAGTAGCCTCCTACTCCATCCTCCCAACTACTTCCTAAAATTTCCCAGGTATTACACTGCACAGAACTCAGACTCTCTTCAGTCCTCTGTGGAGATTCTGGGGGTGCAGCAAAAGGAAGGAACACTGAGACGTCTCCCTACCTAGGATACTTTAAGAGACTTCGCAGAGCACACAGCCGCCACCTGTCTCCTACTCTCCTTTGAGCAGAGTTCTGCTCACATCTACTTTATAGGCTAGAGTTAAAGGAGAAATTCAAGAAATAAAAATTCCTCTGCATCCCCTAGTGACCCTGGGAGGTGCACGGTGGAAGATATTTTCTTCTTACATTGTTGTTTACTTTTGTAATGATAGTTGATTTCTCCACTTGTGTGTAGTCCCCATAAATCGTCCATCACCATAGCTCCCATGAACCATCACCATAGTCCCTTATGCTCTTCCCTCCCCCTCCCCTGTTATAAGCCTCAGATCTAGAGTTTATCTACAAGTTTTGTAGTAAGGAGGAAGACTAACCTCACAATAGCTGACAGATGCCAACTAAGACCCACCTTGACATTCCAGTCTCCTAAAAAGCAGTATGCTAGAAGACATGCAGACAGATCAGATCTGGGATCAAGCCTTATGATTAGCCTCATCTAATCATTATGAATCTTTGGAAGTGACTCTTAACTCCCCTGAGCCTGTGTTTTCATTTCTGTAAGACAACCACACCTAACAAACCTCACAGGTTGTTGTGAGAATGAAGTGAGATAAAGAACACAAATAAAATTGCTAAATCATACCAGTTTCCTTTATTTCAAAAAGAGAACCTAGCAAAGTAGCAACAGGAACAATTGAAGAACGGAATTGTCTCCATTCGCTGATGAATTTGTGCTTTTCCATTCACATCCCACACATTGCCCTTCTGATCCCTTTTGTAATTTAGAGCATGCATTTGTGTGATCATATGCATATTTCCCTGATGAATGCTGTCATATCGAGGACGCTTTGTTGGCCTCTGCTACTGGCAGGCTAGGCACTTAATCACATTAATGGTTAGAGCAACTTTGAAAATGGGGGAGATCGTGTTCTTGAGTCCCTGAATAACCCCTATCCCTACTGCCCTAGCCACTTCAAACCCTAATCCACTAAGCAAACTCGAAGGCCATGGAAAAAGGCTAAATGTCCCCACAGGAGTGATTGTAGTTAGTGATAATTTCCTCCACTGAGCACTCCTTCCACCAGGCATTTACAGGAGAAACAATTATCTTCTTATTACATCACATTCTGAGAGATCGATCCAAATAAATTAAAGACCTCTTTTCACTAATCTACCAGTTTTATTCTTTCCAAATCCCCAACAAGCTGACCAATCTGGTACTGACCCTGAGTTAGTGTAGAGCTGTATCTCAGACCATCTCTCCTCCCATACAAACAGGCAATCAGACGAATGTACCATTTAAAGTTGTACAGATATAAGACTTCCCCCATCAAGACAAAACTTTGGATTGAGGCTAAAGCACCAAAGTTATTAAGAGGAAGTACACAGAATTCTGACCCGTTTGTGCAAATCTACTTGAACTTTGAGAACTGCTGAAGTCTGCTGTCATATGCAGTTGACCCTTGTACAATTGGGTTTGACTATACAGGCCCACTTATGCATGATTTTTTTTCAATAAATGTATTGCAGTACTGTAAATGTATTTTCTTATATGATTTTTAACATTTTCTTTTCCCTAGTTTATTGTAAGAAAACAGTATAAAATATATAAGACAGACAAAAGATGTGTTAATCAACTGTTTACATTATCAATAAGACTTCTTGTCAACAGCAAACTATTAGTAGTTAAGTTTTGGTGGAGTCAAATGTCCTACGCAGATTTTCAATTTGCATCTCTAAGCCCTGTATTTTTCAAGGGTTGACCGTACATGATTTTCACTTACAATGGAATGCTGCTCTCTATTTTCAGTTTGGGGTTCAGTGACTCCTATATGACCTAGTTCAAGATGGGCTACTCATATATCATAATCACTTGGCATTTCATAATCAAGCACATAACCTCTACTGGGGCCAAAGAACAACACAAGAGCCACTTTTTACAGAGAAAACATTAAGATTTTAGGTCCTGTGCTATATGGCTTGCTAGAGCCCCATATCACTATAAATTCTTCAGTTCTTTTGGGTCACTGTGTCATGACACCCAAGAGACCGAGAAGCACATGCTACAGCTTGGACCCCTTTCTTACCCTCAAAACTGTCAGCTTTTCCAGTTATACAGAATGCAGTATATATTGCCTTCAAAACACAAAGAAGTCCAAAAAGCATTGTGTTTTTCTCTTCTTGTAGAGTGGTGCAAGTTGCGGCAACTTGTCTTTAGCTTTCCTGACATACCCCAGACTACTAGACCACTAGAAAAGTCAGCAACTCCAAGAACTTTTGTGGTAGTGTTTATCTTCCACCCTCTGGCTTACTGCTTCATGCTAATCAAACCTGTTGTGCTGTTTTCAGTATAATGGACTTGCATGGTGTCTTGTGGGATGTAAAAATAATCAAGCACCCTAAGGACTATATTATGTCAGGTCATCAGAGAAGTGACACAGTGCTGAGAGGTCATGTTTATATTTGCCCTACCTTTTTAAAAATAAACCGCTTCTCCTATTTCTTACTGATTAGAACAGAAAGAAAGAGCCAGCCAGATCAGTAACTACAGATCAGGTGCGAGGAGCTATGCTGATGTGTTCCAATAAAGTTACAACATTTGTGGAATATAGAGAAACCAAACAAAAGGTCAGACAAAGACAAACTTTAAAACCAACACTCAAAAGCTAACCATAGAACCGAGGCATCCAGAGTGGGTGGGAGAGGAGAAGGGGTGAGAAGAGGATGGAGGGGGAGCAAAATACACTGTGGTAAAGGACTATGGGTGCTTTGGTGGTGGGTGCACTATTGTCACAATGCCTTAGTGGGGAAAGCCTATACTTTCAAAACACTAACAAGCTACTTCAATAAATAAATAAAGTTACCACATCTGGAATGGCAGCTAAAATAGAAATTACCACCTGAGTTTGTGATAATCCACTGTGATTTCCCATGACCCATCTAGTTTTTGCATCAAACAGGTGAGTTTAATGGGCATGCGGGGGGACACCTACCCTGTATCTCTCAAGTCTTCAGTGTTGACACTATTTTCTGAAATCTCCCCTATAGAATTTACCCTCCTATTGGGAGGTGGGGGTTGAGGGAGAAGAGGAATGGAAAGAATACAGTTTCAGGAGCTCCCTTCCATTTGGCCCTTCCTATCATAACAGCTTTCATTCCATTGTTGTAGGAATTGGTGTGGGATTCTTCCATTTATTGGGTATATCTAGTATCACTCTATATGTTCTGGGACAGGGAAATAACCACAAAATAGATACATTGAATCCACTGTCAAATGTGGACCAAGATTCCATCTCTCTTCTGATTTCCCTATACCTCAACTGGTAAATTATGGATATTTTCAGGTTCAAAATCACCCCTAAATTTCCAAAAATCTCAGTATTCTCCTTCCTGCACACCACCTTACACATTCACCCTAGTAAACTGTTGCAAGTCCCTCTGGAGAGGCTTAGGGGAATGGAATGGAATTTCCATGCCATACATATGTGGTCAATTGCAGAGCTTATCATTACTGTTCCCCTCAGTTGAGGAGCTGTAGGTCTGGAAATGACCAGAGACTGTGGATCTCATTATGGTGACTGAGTTAGTTTCAGTGAACCTAGAATTTTCTTGTCTTTTTATGTCAGGCAGCACCTTAACAAGATGTCCACCTATTTTTTTTCTAGAGCCCCATGATCTGCTACTCAGCACACAGATCCCTGCTGGTCAAGCACCCTGGCTACCATTCCATCCTGTGATAACTGCACACTCCTTGTCTCTGAGAGAACAATCACTGCAGCCATGCTCTGTGATCTCACAATCTTAAGTTTCTTATTGAGATTCCAAAGCAGCATCTACATAATCATAACCTCCCTACAGTGGATAAAAT